TCTCCTACCTCTATTGGCCCAGTGATCCTCCCCCAAAGTGGAACATGGAAAAACATTTTGCATATTAAAATTTTGAAAGTGTGTTTAAAAGTGAATTCACAGATATTGAATCAAGTTATATCTCAGTATATAACACTGGAATATTATCCAGCTCTAGCTTGAAATAGGTTCAAACAGGTAGACTGAAACAAGCAAAAATATTTAATGTCAAGCTTTCTCACCGAGCATTCCTCCAGCCACCAGGATGTCGAACAGGGTCTCCGCATATCGCCTGTAATCGAGCTTGGCACCAGATGCATCAAGGAACTTTGCAACAGCTTCTAAATCAGAGCCGCTTTGATTTAGACCTTGCACAATGCTTTCCTGAAATTGGGACGGGTCAAATCTCTCTTTTTCATCTAGGGAAAAAAAACAAAAAACAGAAATGTACTTGAGCTTAATTTAGCCAACCTCTTTAGAACAGCAGGTAAAGTAAATGAACTAATGATTTTTACTTTATTCATAAAACCTAAAGGGACCGCATTCATCAAAAATTCACCAACTAAAGTAATTCAGTTATATGCCAATCTATACTTTTAAACCACTTTTGTTTTTGTTTGTGTCAGTTTTCTCAGTTTTAATAACTATTCCCAATTTGCCCTTTTCAAGCAGTTCCTTTAATTATTTTGTTTGCATGTCACATTTGAAATCAATGACTATGACATAATCCTACTAATCTACATGATCCGACATTCTATGAGGCACTTTTATTAGTTTATATCTACCAGTATCCTTATGTCCACAACAATATTATTTTTTGCCCAGAAACTGCACCCAATAAAATAAATTGATTACTCAAATTTTATGAAGTTTTATGAAGATTTAATTTTTGGAAAATTTGTTTTTTTTTTTAAACCAACCCCATCCTTGGAATCACATTGAATTTGAATTGGTAGAAAAAAACAAATGAAATAAAAATCAATAAATAAAATCCAAGTTTAGATTTTTAATCCATATCACCCAATTCCATATTGAAAGATGGCTGTAGATATTACTTTATTTAATAAGTAACAATGATATATGAAAAAAAAAAAATCTCAAGGATATTATGAATGATGATAGTATGGAAATTTGGGAAGCAGCCTGACTGCTAGCTCAAAAATAATGCTCTGCCTGTGTGAAACTGGATCTGGGAATGATCTCAAACTGAAAGGCACTACTGGAGTGCTCTACAGCCTTTTCCAGGCACAGTAGTCATTCAGATTTCTCATCATGCATCTAGATCCTATCAGTCCAAACACTGAATTATTATTATTTTTTTAAATATGTTTTTGACTATGAGCACCAAATATTAGCTGTAGCACAAGCTGAAGGACAGTGAAGTTTAAAGATGCTTGTTATTATACAAGGAAACAGTCAGGATAACGCATACAGATCCTCTTAGCACTAATTAAAACAAACTTAAAAACAAGAGATGAAATAATCAGAATTAGAATCCTCTGTTTACCCCAAGAGGTAATTATGTAGATACAGCCACATACCTTATAGAAATATAGGCAATATGGCTTACAATGAATAAGTTGGGGAAAAGATAAAAAAAAAAATAATAATAATTTGCTTCCATCACATTCAAGTAGAACCAGCACAGTGTTAGGTGACTAACACTCTGACAGCATGAGCCAACCTGTTAACAGGAATAAAATAAATAGTAAATCTAGACAAAATATTAGATACAAAGTTTTGACAATACGACAACAACGTATGTGGCAAATTCATTCACACATCTTTTACCTGGGCTAGTTTTATTATCTTGCCATTAAGAAAAAAAACAAACTAAAAAAATTAAAATATGAAGAAAGGGGGAAACACAATTTTATCCATTTCAGATTTCTTCCTTTTCTAATTGACACGGATTAGGGCAGCTTGATCATGTTCATCATTAGGTTCCACACACAGAAACAATAACTTTTTTTTTTTTTAATGGTTGAAGGAACCTTTAAAAAAGTTTTCATGAGTATCAATACATGTGTAGGATCTTCTATATTAGCTCAGAAACCCGACCAATCAATGAGTTGGACAAAAAAATATAATAATAATAATAATATATATAGGAAGTAGGAATATATATATCATGGGCGTAGGTTTGCATAGGGACCATAGGGACATGTCCCTACCAAAATGTTGAACCGACCTAATTGTCCCGACCAATAATTGGATGTGAGCAGCATGTTTATAATTTACAGCAGTAGTTGTTGCAGCTTCTTTTCCTCTCGCAGCTCCTCTGCCTGGTCTCTCCTGTCTCTTTCATGTAGCAGCGCATGGAACTGTGCTGCGCTGTTTAACTCCACTCTCATTGGTTGTTCTGCCTTAGGTTCCGCCTTCTCTCTCTCTGATTGGCTGTNCATGAGTATCAATACATGTGTAGGATCTTCTATATTAGCTCAGAAACCCGACCAATCAATGAGTTGGACAAAAAAATATAATAATAATAATAATAATAATATATATATATATATATATAGGAAGTAGGAATATATATATATATATATATATATATATATATATATTCCTACTATCAAACTTATGCAGAATCAGAAACTTATGCAGAATCAGACTATGTAAATTTCATATTTCAAGACTTGTAAATCTAAAATAGGCATAAAATTGATCTGTTTTCTAAATACTTTATAAAAAAAACGATAAAATTGAGATGTGAACTGTAATAAACTGTAATCTTACCTCTTTTTCTGGTTTTGAAACGCTGGCCTGTTAGCGTAGGCTTCTGTTGCCTTTGATTACTCATAAAAGACACTCTGGAAGACAAGAAGTCAGGTTAAACTCAGCTATAACCAAATAAAAATACACCAACAGAGAGCACGCATTACCCGCAGTCACGTTTGTTGATCTACAACTTTAAGAGGCGTTTATAAACCTTTAAAAATAGGCTTAAATCCCTAAAATAAGCTATCAAAGCAACGGAGCCACATTTGTTTTTGTTTTGTTTTTTTTCCCTTGTTGTTAACAACAAAACAAAAGCAAGCTTTGTCGCTGGATAAGAAGTGGATCTTTAAGACAAGATGTTTATCATTCAAAATATAAAACCAAGGTCTGATAAAAATAACAAGGAGGTAAATAAAAAAGTGAACGTTGAACCTCTTTAATGCAGAAATATCAGCAGCTAGCTTAGAGCCTGTTTAGCTAACATTGGTGTTTATGGCGGATATTCGCCTTACTGATAAACATGTAAGCACTGGTCGATTAAAAGACAAAATGGAAGTCCAGAAAACTCACCGAAATCCCTTTTTGGATCAAAACAGCCAATTGGAAAAAATATGGTACAACTGTACCGAAGCTCGACGTACAGGAAAGGGGTATAACGGTAGCTGTCAGTGCGCATGCGCGTGTCCGCTACCCGTCCCAACACCAAGATGTTCAACTTTCCACTGATAGCTGTGTGATCAGATTTATTTACTTATGTTTAGCCGTATTTACAAACTGTAGTTCAACTGTTTTTAATGCCTGTAAAACACGAACAGGTAATGGAAGAAATTAGCTTCATAAATAAACGGAGAACCTCACACATAAATGTGAAGCACATGTTGCAGCCCTGTGTATTACCTCCTGAAACTAAGCTAAGCTAACGTGATTAGACAGTTAATCAGCAAGTTGCTGCGATGGAAAAATTATGACACAGGAGGGGGGTATTGTGCTGCCGGCTGGGATGATGAATGGAGGATCTGCCCATGTGGGTTCCAGAGGAAACTTTAATGCTGCGTTCAGACTCACCTCGTAAATTTAACATTTTAGGAACTTCCCAAAACATTTTAGGGCTATACAGTCTAAAGCAAACTATTTAATATACCCTAAAAAATGCAGGATATGTAAGGCAGGCTTATGTAAAACACTGTACCACCGCAAAGTATTACTAAACACGTTTAATCATCCACTTTATGACTCATTTGCCAAAGGTTGCAACATAACAATGAACACTTTTTTTTCCTTCAGAATTAGTCCCATAGAGACGAGCTAGTTATACATTAGCTTTTTACAAGTGGAAGACTAATATCTATGTTTATATTTCTATATTTAGCTACGATTGTGTTTTTTTGTGTTTGTGTGTGTCTTTTGTCCGTTTGTATTTTTTCTCAGCTCTTTGATTTAAACCAAAATTGTGATTTAACTTATAAAACAATTTAAACATTTTGTTTTGCTTGTTTTTTTTTTTTTTTCAAAATAATTGTGATTGCTTCCAGCATTTCCAATGAAATGCATCAGACTTGTACCATATGAGGCTAAAACTGAGTCAAATATGCACCTTTAATTTGTAATTTTAATGAATCGTAATTAATTAATTGGAACATATTTTGTCAGATTTTAAGTAAGTTATAATCTTCAAGCAGTTATTAAGCATATCCTAATTAATTAAGCCATTTTTTTGTCTCAAAAAAGTTTTCATAAACACTATTTTTGCTTACATGTTGTTTATCTTACTGTCTAGCTGTCACTGGAAATTATAACAGAAAAGAGTTGATAAATTTGTGAATAATTCATTTGTATAATATGGTTTAGAGAATTAACCCTCAAATTATACTCTGACCCCAGTCGGCCTGCCGCTCACACTGAGCCTGGTTCTGCGGAGGTTTCTTCTTGTTAAAAGGGAGTTTTTTTCTCTCCACTGTCACTACAAGCATGCTTAGTGGGAGGGTGCAATCAACTGGTTTTCCTTAGATAGAAAACTTTGAATCAATTTGACTGTATGATCTGGTTAACTGTAAAGTGCCTCGAGATGTCATGTGTTGTGAATTGGCGCTATAGAAATAAACTGAATTTAATTAATTTACAGATAATGGCTGCATAAAAATAAAGTTTATATTTAAAGTTCTTAAGCGTATTGTGAATAGTTGTTAAAAATAAAAAAAAAGTCGACACTTTTTCGACAGTACGTGAATGCATCACAAGCCTCCCCCCTCCTCCTCCTCCAGCTCAGGAGGTGATTAAGGGACTCTGGGACAAACCCAGAGACGCGCTCCAGCCACTCCCTGCGCCCGGCAGTTGGTGAGCTCTCCAATCCATCAGGAGCTCCAGTCAGTGCGCTGAGATCCGGATGAGCGAGCCGCTTTCAGCCTCATCCAGCTCAAGTTCAGCCAAAAACAGCCGGGATAGGCTTGGGGAGTCCACTCCAGAGTTGGACAATCACCCCGGGATCATAGTTTTGTCCGCGGATTGGATTTAAGACAAGGAGCAACCTCTTCAGAGATAAAGCGAGGTGAGCTGGATAAACGGCTGACTGAAATAGTTTTTATGTTTTGAGTCTAACTTTGTCTTATTTTCTGCAAAGTGAATTCTCACATTTCCTCAGAAGTTAACTTTCGAGTGGCATTGGATTGCTTATTTCTTTTTTTTATTTTCATTTATTTCTCATCTTTTTTATAATAGTTTGGGGGTTCTCTCGTTTTCCTTTATTTCTTTAAGAGTTAGTTCATTTTTAGCTAAAAATCATAAATATGAATGATTTAATTGAGCTTTTGGGGGCCCTTAGAGCGCTGCAGCAGAAGTTGTGTTCATGGTCGCTAATTGACAACATCTGTGAGCAAAAGCAATTTGAGGCGCGTTCAAGCGCTCTTTACAAACTGTCACATAGTTTCACATTTTAACTGCACCAATAGAATAACGTGTGAGAGTTTGTTGGATATGAGAGGTTCGTATGGAGGAACAGATCTGAAAAGTTACATTATGCCTGTTTGTTTTATATACCCTACTGCGTGTGGGCGGGTATTGTGCAAATGATGCGATTAGCAGTTCACAAGTTTAAAGGTACAAGCTGCATTTATTTATTTTTTTTAGTTTGTTCACCATCAATGTATAATGATGACCAAATTCATCCAATGACATCTGGATTTCCACAGTGGAGTTTCAGGAAGTACAAAGTTTGTTGGGTTTATTTTATTCGTCATTTTAAAGCTCTATGAAGGGGAATCCTTCCTTCTCATTCAACCAATGCTGCTTTGTGTTTATTTGAATGTATGACATCACAGCATGCACAATAACTGAACTTTTCACCTAGCATTGGTGAATGCTTGACTTTTGACACATTTAGGTTTATGAGATGAACCAATTAAGATTTCTTTTTTAAGGTTCCAAAAGTTTTCAACTTATTTGAACAGTCTGGATGCATAAGAACATGATGGCAATGCCTTAATATACATCCAAGCATGTATAGCCAAGTTTAGAATTTTATTTATCAATTGAGTCAAAGGTTGCATGTTTATAAATGCTTTGCTGATGCGTTTATTGACCAAAATGTACTTCGTAGTTTTGATAGCTGTTGCCAACTCTTCAGTAAGGAAAATCTCTATAGCCTGTCCTACTGTACAAGGCTATAGAGGATGTCATCTCTTGATTTGTATATTTGGTAATGCTTCAAACCAACCATAGCAGATGGAAATATCAACATTGGCAACACAGAAGTTGATTTTAAACGGACACCAAATGTTTTTTAAATTGAATTTTTTAAAAGGACTTTATATGAACCAATACTACATAAACTAATCGTGTGTTATCAATCTCAACTTAACAGAGACATACATCGTTTATAAGGCTGTTCATGAATGAAATGATGAGGGATCCATTTATTGCAACAGTTTCCAGGAAGAAAAAAAAACTCCAAAAAACTGTAAATATTTACATCCTGCTGTAGGGATCGGGAGGATCAGTGGAAACTTTGTGCAATTGTGACTCATTTGAAATGGGGAAATGGAGGGAAGTCTCTCCTCTCTCTGACTGCAGGCAGGGTTTGCTGCTGAGTCTTAGGTCCAATCCTTAACAGGCCCCCAAGGACTAACCCTAAGGACCATTCAGCCCTTAAAACGCAGGTCTGCATCAGTAAAGACTCACTGGAATTTGACGCGTGCATTTAAATGCAAGTTCCGCTGGTTTGCTGCATCTTCGTCAAACTGACATAAAGTCAAAAATTGGGGATTTCATAGGGGGTGGTTTGGAATTGGGTCTGATTTTAGTTTTGGTGGTTGGGAGGAGTTTGCTGCTAGCCAGGTATAGAGCTGGTAGAGCTAAATTTCAAAAGCGGATCTAATTGGGTCAGCATCATTAGGTTAGAACCAATCACATAACTACAGATATGATGCTAATACTCCAAGCGATTTGCTCTGTTTTTGTAATTTTGCATTCCATGAAATACATGAAACCATCAAAGAAACTCCAGTGAATGATTTTTGATGGGTTTTGCCTAAAAAAAAAAGTATAGAAAGTGAGCTTTGAGGAAGTCCTTAATTTTGGGGGAGTGGCAGCCTAGTAGGTTTGGAATCCTGAGGTTGTGAGTCAGAAACCCACTCCCACAGACAGCCAAACTGGGTCCCAGAGCAAAGACCCTTAACCTCACACTGCACCCAGTGGCAGCCCACTGCTCCCCAAGGGGATTGGTTAAATGTAGAGTGAATTTTGTTGCTCTGTTCTTGTGAAAATGTATTGACAAGAAAAAAGCTGGAAAAAAAAAAAATTGGAGCACTGTTGCATTGTGGGTAACTTTGGAGGTGAGTGACGCCACCACCGGCACTGTGACTGGACCTGCAAGATCTGGCCGGAGTCAATGGTGTTTAACCAGACAGTATTGCACAGAGCCAGGCTAGTTGGCAGCTGCTCTATCAACTTGCTGAAGAACGTAAATTCAAAGCAAACCATACTTTCACTTTGTTGCAAAAGTCTCAAACACTGAAAAAAGTTTCAAGATTTGTGTCTAGCTGCTATAAAAAAAAAAACCTTACATGGACATCAACCATAGAACCCTGATAGGATGGAGGGGTTATGTGATGGCAATACAAGAAAATCTATAACAAATTGTCAAAACTTACAACCTAAAAAGGGGGAAAAGAGGATAAGTTTAAAACCAGATGTATAACTTGAACTCTTTGATTTCTCTAAGCAGTTAGTGATTTCACCAACATGAGTTTCTCTAGCATCCAAAAGTTAGTTTGGACTTATACGAAGCGGTCTGGCTTGTTGCTTTGAGTTCTCATGCTGCTTTTTAAAATTAGTCACTGCTCAGTATGAATAAAACTATTCTTCTGTTTGAGGGGAAACCTCTACATTTTGCCCATGATGGGTTGACCTGGATTCTACTGTAGGATCCAGACTTGTTAGTCACAGTAAAAGAATGATGTCCTGTGAGAGGAAAAAAACCATTCCAGGTCTGGTGTGAGTGTAGCAATAATATTACAAATCGTTTTCCTCTTTTACTGTTTTAATTGTTCCCATTACACTGTGGTTTGGAAAGCATGTATACTCAAAATTGTTTTTCCAAGCATGGAGTGTCTCTTGTTCTAGTGATTCAAGTTCAAAGAAGAAAGTAAAAAAAAAAAAAAAAAATGAAAATGATTCACTTAGTAAGTTTCGTCTTAGCTCGGTGGGTTTAGAAACTATGTTCCGCCTCTACTGGCAGGCTTTACCACTGGGAAACCAGATGGGAACTTTATTACGCATGCCGATCAAACAAACATTGATGTTGTGTGACTGTGAAAGGTAGCAAGCCATCGAAGCTGTTGAGAGGAAAGGGGGTGGTAACAATCATTTAGCTCAGCTGGAAGAGGGGCAGCATGTTGAACTGGTTGATAGTAGTTTCACTCTGTGGGAGCTTTTCAGGCTGTGTGCAGGGATCTGCTGCAGTATTGTTAAGTGTGCCAAAAACCCCATCAGGAACACTGTGGGGTGACGTACTGTGGGGTGACGTGCTGTGGTGTGGAGCAGGGTGTATAGAGGATCAAAGTCCCTCCACCAATGCCATGGTGATGAATAGTGTTTGCACTTGTCAGTCTGTGTAGTGGGGTGTGTGGCTTGTGTTATGCCTGTGTAAACACAGAAAAAGCAACTCTGAAGTGAGAAAGAATTGGTAGCCCTCTTAGCACAGCAACTTATCCACACTAAGACACATCAGGATCTAGCTTATTTCAAACTCCTGATTTAAATAAAAGGATGCACATGTTTTCTGAGTTAAGTCTCGGAACTGTTCACTGTGCATTGCAACTCTGGATGTTTCCCACAAAGTCAGCTTAACTGCTTACATTTCACCTCCTTCTCATCCCCTGGGAGCCACAGTATGAATACTGTACATACATTCATTTTTTCCCTCTTTCTCTCTGCTTGGTCAGGCCCAGCACAGCTGCTCTTTCAATTCACTCCTGTAAGTGTTAGTATGTGTACCATATGTGCCTCAGAGGGCTGCACAAAGGCACCCTGGTACTTTTTTCATATCTATTTTGTAGTTTTGTTTCAGAAGAAAGTTGATTTCTTTAATAGTTTATTTCCAAAATTCCAACCCAACTTATTCTCCATTAGGATGTGAACTTTGCCTAACTGTGAAGTCGCAAAAGTCTAAATACACCTGAGTTCAAGGTCCATGCTGTCACCCAACTGACTTGTATCATTGTAATGTAAATCCCTTTATTGTCCCGCAATGGGGAAATTCACTCTCTGCATTTTTACCCATCCTCTTGGGGAGCAGTGGGCAGCCTTTGTGTGGAGCACGGAGAGAGCAGTGTGGGGTTAAGCGTTTTACTCAGGAACCCAGAGTGGAGGCTGTGGGGATCAAACCGGGTACTTACAACCTCCTCGGAGCACAAGCGCGCTGCTCACTGGCAAAGTATCATGCCCGCCACCTCATTTCAGTGTAGTCCAAAGATGTCTCCCTTACTACAGTCAGCTTAGGGGATTCATTAGATGTAACAAATAAAGTGGAAAAAAATGGATCGACGATATTTGCACATTCCCCAAACCACCTAATTAAGTGAACTAAAACAAAAAAAAAAACTTCCTCTCCATCATGTCATATTTTTGCCTAGAGAAACAGGAAGTATTGGTCTACTAATGACGAGTTCCGAGAACATATGAACTTGGAAAAAAAGAAAAAGCGTAATCTATAATTAGAAATTTTTGTATTTGTAAAAGGGTGAGCTTTAAAGTATAGACCAATCCTTAACTGACCTGTGAGAAGTGTGATTATTAATAATTGTCTTTGGATTATCAAAGTTCTTTGAAAATGGACAGCTAAAATATACTTCAGAATAAGAATAGATTTTAATAGCCAAGTTTGTGTCCACAAACAGGAAATTTGACTTCAGTTTTAATCACTAAAGTTGTAGAAGAATGATTAAAGTGATTTAAAAAGGAGCAAGATAAAAGCAGGAACAGTAGCAGTACGTACTGTTTGTTTAGGACATTTTTTTTTACATATGTTAGATGGAATGTAGGCTGTAAAGA